TTGAGGTAATCAGGAAACAGTAGGGAAGGTATCTCAAGCTCAGGCAAATCAGTCACACAAGTTACGGATAGTGACAACCCTACAACGAAGCCGCGCGAAACGTCAATAAAAACAACTTGCCCAAGCGAGAGGTTAAGCCCCATGTGTATGTCCTTATATCCCCTTCAGAAAAGCAGACACCTATTAAAGGGAGCCACTAAGTATCTCGTAAGACCTCAGCTTTAGTGAGAAGCGCGAGTATGGGATAGGAAAAAAAGCTTGCGAAAGTCCAGGAAAAGCACACCATGGCGTGAAAAAGCACGGCAACTGGCTGCTGTGACATCGAAGACGAAATGGAAAATCAAAGCGAAGTGGGAACGTCGATGGTCTTCTAGTTTAGGCTGGACGACTTATTGTCTGATGGCTTGCTACAATGTCATGTATTACCGTGCTGCAGTGCAAGACGGGAGTACTGCAGGTATCGGAGGTTTATCATATATATATATATATATATATATATATATATCGCCATGTTTTATGGGCAGTCAGGATAGTAAAGTGACAAGCATTCTTAGGCCAAATTTCCACTTTATCCTCTGGGTAGTACCCGATTGCAACATGATAGGGGTAATTTATCTAGAAAAAGACCTCATGTTTTAACAATAGGACCAAAACTAGTGATGACTCAGATATCCTTGTTACAAGTAACGCTTTCGTCCTCAGTGCATTGATATGCAAAGGGATTTTCACTATGCTGGGTCTCGTAAGGTTAATGCAGTTCCCTCTTCATGCAAACTCGGTACATCTACAACACTTGTAGCTTTTCTATTGGCGTGACTTGAATTCACCCAGCTTCTCCATGGCGATTTGTGAGAATGCTGTATGTGAATTACCATACAATATCCGTGTCGTCATCAACCATGCTTCCAGCACTGGAGTATGGCAAATTGGATCTTTGGTGCCATCACGTATACAAGTTTATCAGAGGATAACAAACACAAAAATACAGCCAGGGAGGCTCAAACCGTCACCAACGTACCCCTGCTAGTTTACCTAAAGGCGATTCACCTTATCTTCACTGAGATGACCTTTTGTCCCCCCACAGGGTTAGGTAGTTTTTTTTCGCACCCTTGAAAGCGATTTGCTCTCGCGGTACACTTCAATAAATCTTCGACCTGGTTACAAGAGTGCTTCGAGTTGCATATGATCTTGCTGTATGTGGTACAATGCAAGGAGTACATTCGGCCCGATCCTGCTGTGATTTGTGTATCGTGCTCAGCATCTTGTTAAGGGACATCGTTGCAGTCGGGTATGTCATTTGCGAGCAGTCAGTTGGAACTTGCTCTGTACGCCGTAGTTCACTTATTCGTTAACTAGATTAACATGCGTGCAGTGCTCGTAGTGCAAAGCTCTGCACTGGCATAGAGTGTCAAGCTCATATTCTGTGTGATTATGTAATTTGACGATGCAGGCAAGAATACGAAGGGGATAGGCTTCATCGTTATCCGGCACAAGGGTCTGATGGGAAGTTGAATCTGAGTACTGGCCTTCCTAATAACCAGCATACACATTGTGCAGTTAGTCACAAAGAGTTTATCAGTTACAATTATTTCGTTCAAAGTAATGGAAAACTCTGGAAGATCTGCTTTTCGTTTCTTACATTGTATATTAAACTTTCAGGTGGCGACAGATATTCAAACTCCCAGAATATTACCGATTTTGTGACCAATGCATTATTCAGATAAACTAGGTACATTTGACCTAAAGAATATTTACAGTTAATTGCGGAAACGCGAAATCAGATGTGATTCTTGTTTTAGAAAAGTTACTCTTAGCAAGCACTTTATAGTAAATTCGAGTACATATGCGAGCACCCAGATTTTAAGGGGTGGTTTAGGGATTTGAATGGCATCATTAAAGTTCATCACATTTCGATTCAGTCAGACTTCCAGCACACTAGCGGAAAAGCACTGTACAACCGTTTCATCCTTTCGGAAATCTTCAGCAGTGCGCATTTCACCTAATCCCTGTGGGTCTTAACCCCGAAAGTCGACTGTTGCCAGTCTGGGTCTAAGACCGGTGAGCAATGGGGCACGGTAAGTACGAAAGGACTAATTTGCTAAATGTGACAACGCCTCTCATCATGAGTGAACCGGCTGTGTGGTGCTGTTCCGTGCACGTGATGGCTGTCTGACTGAGTGAAGTGGTGACGACTTCCTAATGTTGCCCTAATTTGTGAGGTAATGCGACCTCAGTTAGTTGCCTACTCGGTACCTCGGCTTACTGCACAGTGTATGCGTGCACGTCCAAGGGCTGTGCTGACCTCCTTATCGGACACCGCCTTAGGTGCTTAGCCAATAACACGATATACTTGCGTAGTTGTTTCTGGTTTCACTGGGTCGCAATAGAAAGGCATTCAATAAAAATCGTGCATTAACCACGCTGAATTCACTGAGCAAGTTGAATCATTCTAGGAGAAATTAACATGACAATTTCACTTTCGATCCTAGCCCGGGAGGCAACGGAGAACAAAGTTCATTCATGCATTCTAATGTGGCGCCCTAAAATGGCAGTCGTAGCAAATTAGTAGGGAGCATAAACTTTTAATTGAACCATTGTTTGAGCGAAATATTCCGCACCGTTATCTGCATCAACACAGAATTTATCCACGGATTTATTTATGAAGTCCCTTAAAATGCGGTTTATCTCAGTACTTTTAGGTTACTCCAGCATTAAGGCTGGCTGGGAGATAATTGGTGGGGGACAAATAATAAACTAAGACAAACTACAATTGAAAGCGATTGGGGAGGACATTTTGCAGTATTCGTTCTATGAAAGGATTACGACGCGCAATCTCAAGGTGCCTTCGATGCCTACTATTTCTACCTGACGAGAACGAATAAGTTCTAAACCTCTGGTGTAAGACACTGTTTTCTACCGGGCAACACCGATTATCCAGCTGCTACGGTGGAGACTTTTCCCATCGACCATGAGATATCTCTGTAAGATCTGCATACATAGAAGTTTTGAAGTATTTCATGATATCCCATCATGTTGACTTCATACGACAGTACTGTATTACTTTGCTGCGGCGCACAGCTCCCAAACAATTGATTAATACACTTCAAGTGCGCCAACTACAAAAGCGAATTCCCTAACTGCGAGATGAGAAAAGCGACGCGTCGATTCAACGTCCTGCTCAGACTACCTCTCTGAAAACTATTACAACGCAAAAGCTTGTTGTATCATGCGGGATCTAGAGTGAGGAGCACCGAAAAAATACGCACTTCAGACATAGATTTAGGGTCTGGCTTTACCAGCTGTACTAAAAAGCAAGACGTTGTTTAAAACTAGATTATGGGTGGTAGTTTAAAAACAAAAAAAACGACCAGAAACTCGAATCTTGCCTGCTGTGCTGTTTACAATTCGTTTGATATCCTATTTCTAGTTACTGGTCTGTGGGTTTACAACTTGTCTGGAATACGATGCCATATTTTGGTTTTATTTGTAGGTGGTCGATCGCGAATCACTTATCCTCACTAAGTTTAAGTGCACAGTTAGGGCAACAAATAATTAACGTAATTGTAAATTCGGACTCAGATATTAAGCGACGGTTGATGCGGAACACGCGGTTGGTTATTGATGTTGTTTTTGAAATGTTACTCCAAAAGTAACCTACTACAATCTTAGAAGGCAAATATATTTGATGGACAGAAATGATATCAAGAAGTTTGAGGCAAACCAACTGGAAATAAGAGAAAGATACCTCTAGAAGCTGGATTGTAGCAAATTACGCAAATATGCCCAAGAACCGAAGTCTGTTAATAATTCTGTTAACAGCCTTAGCTAATAGTAAACAAGCTTCCGCCAATGCTGATGTTAAAGCAGCATGTTCCAGTGCAACAAAACACAAAGTGACCGTAGATCTTGGATAGATATTGTGTGTTTAGAGTCGTATGGTGTACCAGATAGCCTTCTGTAAAGCTCCGATGAACTTGGTTGTCATTTGTTAAAGGTCGAGAGCAGTCTGTTCGTTATAGAAACAGACTGCTAGCTCATGGAAACCTAGTCGCTCAACTCATCTAGTGGTTCCTCGCCTCGAGAATTTGGTATATTTAAATAACTAATTTTTCGTGCAACTGTGACTGTTACATTTACCCCATAGACCAGCTGTCCTCATTAATCCATAATTGGGAAATTAACACCCTGGCCTTCAGATCCTGCCAGGCATCACTGAATTCCACCATATTTCTCAAAACTCGGTAGCAGAACGGCATTTACTGTGGCGGTCACTGGCGAAATCATTGGAAAGTTAGCTCATTTCCATTGAACAAAGTTTCCGACAAGTCATTTGTAGACTGCAATCCGAGCTAAACAAATGCGGACAGGCGCGATTCTTTGAATGATAGCTCATGTTTGTCAGCATAGAAGCGACACTTGAGACATTCCTTAACAAGCGGATGGGTAGATATTTCATAGATAAAAGCGGATCTTTAACAAATCCGGTAGGTAAAGAGTGAGACTTAAAAGTGAATACACCAGGAAAAAATAACGCGTAACGGTGGACTCAAAGTAATTTTCACTTGAAGAGTTACTCATGGAAAACGACTTCCCGCTGAGTACTTGATAAAACCGAAAGTTGAACGTGCTTCATTTGACAACGGGATATCCCCGTACGAAGTAGCAGCTTGATGTAACAGATGAAAACTTACCTTTAAGCTGACAATACGCAGCAAATGTTTGTCCCATAGTGGATCTGTCAGAAACGTGATCTATCAGCTACAATACTAGCCCACATACAAAGACAGGTGAGGAAGATGAGTGTGTGGAGTTGCTACCAGGTAGACTGCTACCAGAAATATGGAATAGCCATTTTAGGACAGCCTTCTATTGAATGTATTCTATGAAGTGCGTGATCCAGTGTATTGTTTTGTACTGTGTGAAATCTGCTGACATGTTGACTGATAGATCTACATGTTTAAACCACTCATCTTGTAGATCACACTGATTCGCAACTGCGCATGAAATTTGGTCCATGTAAGTTTATACATATTGCAAATATGCTGGTCATGTACTTTTCTATGCCTTATGCTTTAACGAAATGTACAACTTATGCAAAACTTGGACTACCCTCATCAAGTTCAAAGCAAAGAAATCGCACGACCATCTGAAGGGTTACTGCTTATTACGCTTAATTCCACTACCAGTAGTACACCGCGGCACCGACACGGAAATGACGAGTAACGTGGTACGCGCTCTCTTCTCAGGTCACATACCCTTGTTCTACCTATACGAGTACTTACATTCAAACTTCATCCACCTGTGGCGTGCCTGGACTGACTGCACCTGATGCAGGCTAGACAATGTGTCTACTCGTCGGAAGATACCCCTTTGACTGTAGTTCCCAGAGGACTATTAACCTTCGCTAAACGAGAGGACAGGTATTGTTCTTTATAGTGCCGGTCCGGATTAATGGCCCAACAGTAGAAAAGTCAAAAGCCGGATCAATATATTGCGCAAGCAAGTATGCTCATTTAACCGCAGTACTTGACCAACATGCAGCTATCCCGTATGAGCCAAATACTCACAACAGGAGGGCATTCCCTCCTGGTGCATGCTGAATCAACGGTCCTAGGGCCTTGTAAAGGCTCCGGATTTCGCTAACTTGGAACCATCCCCTCAGGAGTGGTATGTATGTGGTACCACACGTCAATCCTTTAGAGACAAGCTATTATTATGTAAAGTCGACTCAGGGAAAATAATAGGATAAATGACAAGCAACCCCCCTGGATATATATAATCCGTGAACTTCCACAAACAGCAAACCTTATGGATCCAAAATGTTCCCCCTTTGATACAGTTAGACAAACTACCAGGAACCCGCCATAGGGCACACGGATGTTAACCAACCATGGTTTAATGTTCAAATCCATCATGTCCGTTCCGCACTGGCTGTCTGTTTCGTCCTAATAATTCAGTTCTTCACTACGACGAAATGCGGCTATCAAATATTATGCTGACAGTGTGTGCTAGCCCCTAAGTAACCTTGGCCTATTCCTTCGGATTTTCAGATGATAAGAGGGGTATGTCATGGGGTTGAGTAGTGTACTTCAATCCCGATCCCCCTATTATCCGTTTTCTTGCTCGATGGCAGGTATACTAACAAATATACATGAGATTGGGTCTAGCCAGCCTGCTAGCAAATGAGCTGACAACAGTAAACTTTACTCAGAAGCATCCATGGAGGTAGCGCGTGCCTTTTTCTTCCATGCGAACACGTTTCGCAAGCCTGCTGGGAACAATGAACAATGAGCAATGATATATTACAGGTAAAAAAGCGATTGCTTTACAAGTCCCGTAGGATGGTTGAAGTGAAAGTGAACATAAGTGTAAATCGTCAGTTTAAGCGTCTAGTGTATTCAAGTACCCCTTTGACAGCATGGGTGATGAGGTTGCTTAAAATGCAAACACCAATAAGATTTTGATTCCACCGTTTTTCTGTTTTCTCCCAGCAATCTGCGTCGATCAAGACTGTCATCCGTACGCGCACTGCGTAGACAATCGATGCGCTTGTAGGCCAGGCTATGAAGGCGACGGATATTTGAAGTGCAAAAGACAGACAGGCAAGTTGTTTGAAATTTATCAGATTTCTTTTACTGAACTATCCACGTCTATAACCGGAACTCCATTTAAAGCTCACGAAATTTAGTGCATCTCTTAGTCTTTGAAATTTTTACACATCGAATTCTACATCCGTTCCATGCATTACAGATACAACCCCGCTAAAGTCATACAGTTCGGACTTGTCCCCGTAATCTAAGTAGTAAGCACCTCACAATGATCCGCGTTGATCACGAAGACTGTGAACTGGCCGGTAAAGTGAAGCAGACATATCTTCAACTTTATTATACCCACTTATATGAGTGACCACTGTAGCTTCATGATGCTGAACACAGCGACATTCCTCATGATTGGTACCCTGTTTCAGAGAACCGAAGTTTGCCTGTGACTCTGTGATATTGCCTCATTTGGATACAACGCATGAACATTCACAAATCGGTCGGTTAAGTCCAGGGTCACAAAACGGCCACAAAATAACGTGATACAAATATCATGGTTTGGGTGATGGTTTTGCCAGAATCGTATCAGGCTAGAGTCTCTAGTAAGCTTGGATTAAGACTAGTTACTCTTCCTAATGGCACAATGGGGTCTATCACTGTAATCAAATTTTAACGTGGCTTCTAACTCATCCATCCTGTGGACAGTATGGCATGGTACCGTTCAAATGCTTTCACACTGGTCACATATACAACTTGTTCTGATGCGTGACTACACCGACCTTGAAGGTCAGCATGCATTTCCGATGCGGGATATACAGCCGCCATCGATGTCCAGTAGACGTGCAACTTAACTGCATCATTCCCCCACTGGAAGCCAATGGTGAGTTACTGCAGGGCATTTGCATTGAAGATGATGAATCCGAAACTGTAAATACATCGTCCATAGTTTTACTTATCATTCCATATAACTTGAATCTTTAGATGAACATAGACCAGGATTTCTCTCTACCTACCTGATCGTTCACTGCATAGGGTAATGAAGTTTATTTTGATAAGGGGGCCCCCAACACACTTTTCGATTCTACAAGAAAGGAGGATGTTATAGGTATCAGTATCCCTTGATAAGGCAACCAGTTGTTAAACAGATGTATTCCACTACACTTATCCACAGTGAAATTTATTTTAGCTTAGGTAACAATATCACATGGATCTGCGTCGATTAGGGTCATTTGAGAGACAAATTCCCCTATATACGCTATTCATAACAGCTGTTTAGAAAATACCAGAAAACGGTTGTCTCCAATCTGCAACTATTACTAACAAGGAAAATGTATTCATGGTTGAGTCGATAAAGGACGGTCTCAGTAGATGGGCTGGCATAATATCAGCAGCCAAACTTTACGCTTCTGCTATCCATTCAGATGGCTGTAAGTAAGGACATGTAGGGTATGCTCGTCGAGAAAACACAGTAAGCCGCACAAACAAGTCTTTGTAGTAAATTGTGGAGAAATACGGGACAATAAGGTGGACAGCAAAGCATTGGGCCAGAGCGAGGAATGCCTGGTTACCTGAGCTCCGATAAAGGTGCATGTAGATGGACCCAGTATTACAGTTTGAAAGTCAACGGTGCGTTTAAACAAACACCTGGAAAAACTGTTGCAATTGCTTCTGGTTTTTGAATCCTTTTTTTCTATGCTTTTAGATGAATAATGAAAAATGAATTTATACGGGTTAAGAAGCGTTGCTTTACAAGTCCCGTTGGATAGTTGGTGGGGATGTCAACATAACCATAATGAGGATAAGGATAGTAAAATAGTTAATAATTTGAATATGAAAATGAAGACTTATCGTTTGCTCCGCTGTAGTCCTGCGATCCTCTTAGATTCACAACACCCACAGTTAACAACAAATAATTCCATGGTAAACTCCAGGTGTACGATGGAGACGTAGTGTTAAGTAACAAAGTGTAAGTGGATGAGTGCATCGTCCAACCGTCTTTTAAATACTGTTAGTGTCGGTGCAGAGACTACCGATTCTGGGACAGCATCCCACAGCTGACAGACACAAAGTGAAAAGAAATTTCTGCGGCACTCCAGACGACCATACTGTTCTGCGAGTTTTAATGAGTGACCCCTCAGGTTTGTATTGCTGATGAGTTTTAGTAAAGGGCGGCACACATGATGTGGGTCTCGCAGAATCAAGTATGCCATAATCAGGTCGCCACGTATGCTGCGATAGCTTCCACC